AGAGAGAGAGAGAGAGAGAGAGAGAGAGATTGCAGTTTCCACGAGTGACTTAGACAGTGGCGTAGCCAGGATGTTTTAACAGGGGGGGGGGGGGGCAAAACAGCGAACTGCGCAAAATAGTGCATGGATGACTTCAAATTAATGGTTCCTCCGCCTCCCTCTCCACACCCTACGCTCCCCCACCTCGCAGCTCTGCAATCTTTGTTTTGGGCGCCATGCATGAAGGCGACATTTTTGTTCGTTGTTCTCTGATACCAAGATATATAATATAAAAGGAGGGGGTGAAAACAGGCGGGGGGTATGGGGGTCCTCCCCCCAAAAAAACGTTTAAAATGTAGATAGCAGGAGATGGTATTTTAGGCGCTTTTGAGTACATGTACAGCCTTCATTCTGACTACGACAATTCTCTTTTTAGTAGAAATTTTTTTATTTTTTTATTTTTACTTTCGGATCAGCCATGGTCCCCGTTGCCCCCTGCCCCCTAACTACGCCACTGGACTTAGAGTTAGACTTTTTTAAACGATGTTTGATTTTATGGGATAAATGATTTATTAGACTTGATAGGCGGAGACATAAACGTGTTGCCTGCAGGGCACGTGAATACAGGAATTTAGATAATTGGAAGTTTTGGTCTAGCAGTTTGTAAGAGTAGGGCGTATCTATCTCTCAGGCATATTAAAAAATTGTTCGCATTGAAGTAGTGCATAGTGATTATGATTGCCAGCACTTATAACGTTAACTAACAACTCATAGCACATACTCATGACTCATAAAACTATTATATGAATTATTCGTGTAACAGTATAACTGACTATATTATTATTATTATTATTATTATTAAATGTTTCATAATTATCATAGAATTTAAGGTTACCATGTGTGGCCAGAACACTTTCGGGTAGTTAAGACGAAAAAAGTCCGTTAACAATGTAGAAATACATTAAAAAACCATTGACGTGAATTTTATACGTAGATGAATTTCGTATACTTTATTATGAATTTCTCTCCTCTATTTCCTTCTTCTATGAATATCGATTCAGTTATACACATAATCAATAAGAGGTTAATAAGGATGTGTAAGCGTATGTTGTAGTTTTAAGTCTCGTTTATGATGAGTATATAACTATTTTCTTCACATTAATTAATATGCGCAGAGAATTAGGTGAGAAATGCCGGATAAAGCATTCCACTTTAAGACGCAGGCGCGCAAAGCGGGGTATAAGTTGGGTGGGTATCAACATAAACACATGTGTCTACTATAGGTATACGATATACTAGCAGGAGTGTCATAATATAGTCTATATTATGACACTCCTCATACTACTATATACTGTAGATTATAAGATGTATGTAGTACGATATATGGTAGAATGAGTTTATAACGGTAGTATATACTAATAGCACAGTTAATAGTGCATTTCGTTGCCTATAGTGTGATGCACAAGCTTGCGCGGAAGCATTTTCCGTCCACCGTCAAGTTTTCTCTCGACCTCGGTGTTTTGTGATGATGCTTTCCTAGTCCTGCTTTCCTCATGATGCGATCCTAGCGGCAACTCGATAGCAGCCTCTCCAGTTGGCTACGCAGTGCAGTGGTCGTTGACCAGCGAGGCAGCCACGCGCACACATCTTGCCGCGGTTACCACAGCACCAGCTCTTCGGAGATGATGCCGCTCCGTGTAGTTTATAACTGGGTATAGGGTGTGGTAGGAAAACCATATGTAAAGAGAATGCTCTAATCGGCATAAGCTTGCGTAACCAAGATTGACACACAGTTGACTTAAAGATATCATGTGTATATACAACCACACCCAAAGTGTTACACGATACACTAGCACACCCTCATACCCATATTTCGACACCTACATGATTAAAAATTCTTTTTAATATTAGAAGTGATGCATCGGAGCTGGATCATGAAATATTGAGGCGCTGAGAAACAGCTAGGCCTACATATCCGTAAATATACATAACAGATCTTCACGACTGCTATTGCTACTGCTACTGCTACTGCTGATTATAAATTAAAAAAAACATTATTGATTAAATAAGGGCGATAACTGGTCAGAATTTAACCAACACTAAACTATTACAGTATAGCGGAGACTTGCTTGATTCTTGTTGCATAACATCAAGAGCGTATTAAGTATTACATACGAGATTAGGCAATTTTCAAGAGAAATATACGAAAACATGAATCCGATAACTCATATTGCATATTGCCTTAGATGCGATGTTTCTCTCCATTTAGATTTATTTCTAATAGAGCATGTTGGCCCCTCTTCTCGGTTACATGTTTAAAACTTTAATATGATTAGTTTAGTTTGGGTGTGGTAAGATAGGATGTTGTATTTCCCGAGCACTGTTCATAATGTTTGCCTGCCGATCTATAAATTGCGAGACGGAACATGAATGCAGATGCTTTAAACCGTGACTAGTTGTGTATATAAATAAGATCATACGTGTGTTATGTGATTTATGTTCTGTTAATGTGCTTTAACTCGTATCCTGCTTCATCACATTTTTCTGCGTTGGCCACCTAATGGTGTTTGATGAAAAATGCTAGGCGGCGTTTCGCAGCACCTTATAGTGGATACCGGGACGCACGCTGTCCTGATACTTTTCCCGCGATGCGAGGTGCAGTTAACATTTTTATTTCATTTATTAAAACTCTGTTTATTAAATTGGAAAGAATTGATTCGACTAGAGTGGTATGTATATGTAGAAACCCATGTCCTATTTTTCTTACGTAGAGCGATAATGAATCGTTTCTAAAGATAGCGCATATTAGTAAGCAACATTAAGATATTTCAGCATGGGCCTTAATTTTTAGTCAGTGATAATTAGATATTGTGTCTGATAGTCAGTATATTTGTTAGTCCGACTGCTTTGAGTCCGTTTGTCTGTCCTACCGCGTGGGCATCCCCTCGTTGGTCCGACCTTGCCTGTCTGTCTGTCTAAAATTCTAAATGGATGGTAGTCTTGCTGGAGTTGTGTCTACATGGCACATGAGTTGAACCGCTCCTGCGGTTTTCAATCACTATTATTGGTTTTATGCCTTCTGCACATCAATGTGGGGGTCGATACGAGGCGATTAATGTGGATGGTATAAGTTGGGTAAATAAGTTTTTGACGGCAATGGCTTCAACATTCATGGAAAACCATGAATAAACGATGATCGAGCCACTTACATAAATAGGCTTGTACTTTGCTGGGCGTTGAGTCAAATTATGGTCTATCACAAAAAAATTGTGATCAGCTATACGAATGAAAACACTGGGGGAAACTTGAAGCACACCACCCATACTGGTGCTTAGCAATAATAATATCATAATATGTGATTTATTACGCAGAGTCTCCTTATACCACATCTGTAAAAGCTATCAGTGGTATGCAAATTACATCTGTGAACAATTTCATGGCAATATAAGCAAAGTTTAGACAACTTCTTTGAGATCTTTTTTTGTAAGTTTGCGTGCAATATTTCACGAACGTTTCAGAAGTTTCGTTAATACATGCACGCCACCCAGCAGTCCGACTGCTGAGCGGGGGTCGTTTCAAGGTGACCAACACAGTGATGGACCGTGGAAACAAAACAGTTTGATTCGAAAAGCTTTCGCAATCCGTCTCGATTAACTTCTAAAACGAATTGACGAATAGCGAGATTCGCACCCAGGCTTACAGTGAAGATTAGCGTCTTCTACACTGAATAATTGCCAGGGATGGGACGGACCACTAATTTGCATGGTATGCGATTGGCCTTCTGGGTTATCTCACTTTAATTATAATATTTATAAACCGACTATCATCCGATATAAATATAGAAGCGTAACCTTGTTGGGCGGAAGTTAGAAAAAATCGGAGCATCACTATAACGTGTCGTATATATATATATATATATATATATATATATATATATATACATACACACACACACATATATATATATATAATATATAGTAGCTACATTTAAAAGAATGCCCTACTTCTAATGTCAATCCCATCAATATCGTATTGCGCATATCAGAGATTTAAGTGACATAATAATAGCAAACGTGACTGTTAATAAATGGTTTCGTGTGGTAGTAATGAGTATTTTTGCGTCACACGTGTTTATGCGTGTTTACGACTACGATTACTCTCCTAGATATTACGCATAAATTAATGCGGTAAATAGTCTCCCTATTTTTACTGACAAGAAATTTTTTGGGCGGTCGGTTGGTCGGTCCGTTGCAAAATGTTTGTGGAGCGAACTACTTCCACAGTTTTCAAGGGATTCCAATGAAACATCATACACTTGATTACCATGAAGTGTAGATGTGCGTGACATATTTTGTGTGTGCGTCGGTCAAGGCGTTGCCATGGAAACCGTATATTATCTTTGATTATACCCCCGCCGTTGCAAAAAGTTTGTGGCGCGAACTACTTCCACAGTTTTCAAGGGATTCCAATGAAACTTCATACGCTTGATCACCATGAAGTGTAGATGTGCGTGACATATTTTGTGTGTGCGTCGGTCAAGGTGCTGCCATGGAAACCGTATCTCATCTTGAAGGTCCGCACCATGACCTTCCATTTTCTCTCCGACAAAGCGGTATTGCGGGGGTATTAATCACTATCAGTGATAGTTCTAGTTGCGTCTAGTTCTGTCGTCTCCTTTCTCTTGTTTGCAGACGAGGAGGTGGAGATCGTACTCTCTCTGCCAACGTGCCCAACTCTTAACGCTCCCCCTTGCTGTCTTCTTCTTTGCAGACTTCTTCTCTTCTCCTTACGTTTTAGTACAGTAATTGTTTTTAACGCTGTCTTCTCCTGTCTCCTGTTTATAGACGAGGAGGTGGAGATCGACCTGCTGAACGCGATCAGCATCCCCATCGAGCAGGCGGGCGTCGACTTCACGAGTGGCTTTGACGGCTTCATCGCTCTCAACGTGCGCCGCTCGGCGCTGGTGCGCACGCCCTTCCGCACGCTCTTCCCCGAGGTGTTCTTCGCCGACTTCTCGATCCTCGTGACGGCGCGCCTCGCCGACCCGCGCCGCGGCGGCTTCCTATTCGCCGTCGTCAACCCGACCGACACCGTCGTGCAGCTCGGCGTCGAGCTGTCGGCGGCCGTCGGCGGCGAGCAGAACTTGACGCTGTACTACACGGACGTGAAGGCGCACGCCGCCTCGCAGGCGCTCGCGCGCTTCGCCGTGCCGAGCTTCACGCGCGAGTGGCAGCGGTTCGCGCTGCGCGTCGAGAGCGACGTCGTCACGCTGTACTTGAACTGCGAGGAGCGCGGCGCGGTGCGCGCTCGACGCGACCCGCGTGAGCTCGCCTTCGACTCGGCGTCGACGCTCTACCTCGCACAGGCGGGACCGATACTCGGCGGACACCTGGCGGTGAGTCTGACGGGGATACGGGGATACTGGCGGGAATAGGGAAATACTGGCGGGGATGCTGGCAGGGATACGGGGATACTAGCAGGGATACGGGGATACTAGCAGGGATACGGGGATACTGGCGGGGATACTGGCAGGGATACGGGGATACTGGCGGGGCTACTGGCAGGGATACGGGGATACTGGCGGGGCTACTGGCAGGGATACGGGGATACTGGCGAGGCTACTGGCAGGGATACGGGGATACTGGCGGGAAGTACTGGCAGGGACATACGGGGTCCTGTAGGCGATAACGGGATACTGGTAAGGGATACGGGATACTGGCGGGGGCTTAACTGGCAGGGATACGGGGATACTGGCGAAGATACGGGAATACTGGCGGGGATAGACTGGCAGGGACTATACGGGGATACTGGCAGGAACGGGAATACTGGCGGGATACTGGCCAGGGATACGGGGATACTGGCGGGGATACTCGGCAGGGATAACGGATACTGGCGGGGGATTCTGGCAGCGATACGGGGATACCGGCGGGGATACTGGGCAGGGATACGGGGATACTGGCGGGGATACTGGCAGGGATACGGGATACTCTGGCGGGGATAGCGGATCGGCGCTAGGCGATACGGGGATACTGGCAGGGATAGCCGGGGATACTGGCGAGATACTGGCCGGGGTACGGGGGATACTGGTGGGAATACGAGGGATACTGGTACGGGATACCGAATACTGGCGGGGTACTGGCAGGGATTACTGGCAGGGAACGGGGATACTGGCGGGAATACGCGACGGGATACGTGGGATACTCGGTCGGATTACCGGAATACTCGGCGGATATCTGGCAAGGGAAACGGGGAATACTTGGCGAAGAGATACGGGGATACTGGCAGGGATAGCTTGGCAGGGATACGGGATACTTGGGCGGGATACTGGCAGAGATGACGCGGGATACTGGCGGGGTACTCGGCAGAGATACGGGGATACTGCTAGGGATATGGATAACCTGGCAGCGATAGCTGGCGGAAGTATTACGGGGATATACTGACGGGGATTACTAGCAGGGAATACGGGGAAACCTGGCGGGGCTCTGGCAGGGATACGGGATACTGGCGAAGATTACGTGGGGATACTGGCGGGGATACTGGGCAGGGATACGGGGATTACTGGCGGGAGAAATACGGGAATACTGGCGGAGACTACGGGGATACTGGCGGGAATACGCGACGGGATACGGGGATACTGTAGTGGATACCGGAATACTGGCGGAGGATACTGGGCAGGGGATACGGGGATATGGCGGGAGATACGGAATACTGGCAGGCGATAACTGGCATGATACGGGAATACGCGGCATACTGGCTAAGGATACGGAATGCTGGCGGAATACTGGGCAGAGATACGGAGGGATACTGGCAGGGATGATGGGGATACTGGCAGGGATACGGGGATACTGGGCGGGATACTGGGCAACTGGATACGGGGGATACTGCGGGGATACTGGGCAAGGATACGGGAATGGCTGGCGGGGACTACTGCAGAGATACGGGGATACTGGCAGGGATATGGGGATAGCTGCAGGGCTACTGGCGGAAGATAGCGGGGATATAGCTGACGGGATTACTAGCAGGGATCCTGGGGAGATACTGGCGGGGCTAAGCTGCAGGGATACGGGGATACTGGCGGAAGATACGGGGATACTGGCGGGGATACTGGCAGGGATACGGGGATACTGGCGGGAGATACGGGAATACTGGCGGAGATACGGGGATACTGGCGGGAATACCGACGGGGATACGGGGATACTGGCAAGGATGATGGGGAGATGAGTGCTTGCTCAGGAATCGCACCTGTCGTCGTCGCCACGCTGGTGTAAGCTGATAGCTGATAGATGGAGTGGGGTATTATAGCATCTGCACTGGTATAGTACTAGAAAGTAATCCTTACTTAGTGGTTACTTTTGTTCGTAGTGGTAACCACTGATAAAAGCTTCATTGGACCAGGCGTCTGGGGTTGAACTGCGTTGCCGGTTACCTTGTGCTGTTCGGAAAAATACAGACGTGAGAGAATCGACATCTATAATATGGATTATGTGTTTGCGTGCACGTATGGGTTAGGCCAGTATTTGT